GGGAGAGGAGGAGAAGATGGAGGAAGAGGAAGGAGGAGGAGGAGGAAGGAGGAGGAAGAGGAAGGAGGAGGAGGGAGGAGAGGAAGGAGGAGGAAGATGGAGGAGGAGGAGGAAGAGGAAGGAGGAGGAAGAAGATGGGAAGGAGGAGGAGGAGGAAGATGGGGGAGGAGGAGGAGGAGGAGGAAGATGGAGGAGGAGGAAAAGAGAAGAAGTTATTGGGAATTTATTTATATACAAATACAAAAACTTGTCAACAAACTATTATTATTATTTATTATTATTATTATTATTATTATTATTATTATTATTATTGTTATTATTATTATTATTATTATTATTATTATTATTGTTATTGTTATTGTTATTATTATTATTATTTTGTTGTTGTTGTTGTTGTTTGTGTCTGGGGGGGGGGGTCTCAGGGGTGAGGAGGACGTGCACTGTTGCCAAGCTGAGTAAGGGGAGGGCATCATCCGCTTGGGTCCGGAGTGCCAGTGCCACACATATACACGACTGGCACTTTCTCTCTCTCCTTGAATCACCGCTTTAAAAGTGTGTGTGTGTGTGTGTGTGTGTGTGTGTGTGTGTGTGAGAGATTGAAGAGAGAGAGAGAGAGAGAGAGACACACGTTGAACCTTGAAGAAGGGAGGGAGGGAGGATCGAGAGAGTAGGAGGAGGAGGGAATGGCAGGTAGTGGAGAATTACATAAGAACGTGTGTGTTATCTGACGGAGCTTCACCTGTGTCGTATAAATTAACAGTAATGAGGAGGTGTGTTGTGTGACCTGCTCTTGTTCTTACCTGGGCCATACCTTGGTGGTGGTGGTATTATTGGTGGTAGTGGTGGTAGTAGTTATGGTGGTAGTGGTGGTAATAGTTATGATGGTAGTGGTGGTATGGTGGTAGTGGTGGTAGTAGTTATGGTGGTAGTGGTGGTATTATGGTGGTAGTGGTGGTATTATGGTGGTAGTGGTGGTAGTAGTTATGGTGGTAGTGGTGGTATTATGGTGTGGTGGTGGTAGTAGTTTGTTGGTATTGTGGTGTGAGTGGTGGTATGATTATGGTGGCAATTGGTGGTGGTAAAGTTATGGTGGTATTATGGTGGTGGTAGTAGTTATGGTGGTAGTAGTTATGGTGTGGTAGTGGTGGTGTAGTTATGGTGTGAGTGGTGGTAGTAGTTATGGTGGTAGTGGTGGTAGTAGTTATGGTGGTAGTGGTGGTAGTAGTTATGGTGGTAGTGGTGGTAGTAGTTATGGTGGTAGTAGTTATGGTGGTAGTGGTGGTAGTAGTTATGGTGGTGTAGTTATGGTGGTAGTTATGGTGGTAGTGGTGGTGGTTATGGTGGTAGTGGTGGTAGTAGTTATGGTGGTAGTAGTTATGGTGGTAGTAGTTATGGTGGTAGTTATGGTGGTAGTGGTGGTAGTAGTTATGGTGGTAGTGGTGGTTATGGTGGTAGTGGTGGTAGTGGTGGTTATGGTGGTAGTGGTGGTAGTAGTTACGTGTTGAAGACCTCACAAGACTGTGTGTGTCCATTCGTGTTCCTTCTTTTCCTGTTTTATTTCATACCAACCACAACAAACACAGCAAGAGCCACACCTTCCACAACAGCCACATCAAGAGCCACACCTTGTACAGTAACCACAGCAGCAGGTAGGGTGGTCAGTCACTATGCAGATGGAACAAGTTTTTGCTTTGAGTGTTGAGACGAGAATCTGTTGGGACACGGGCGATGGTGGTAGAGGTTGTGGTGTGGGTGGCACTGTAGACCATCTGGCACTCATTGGCACTGTTATCTCAGGGATGGTTGTCCACTACACTGCGTCACCAGTTATATGTTATCCTGCCCTGACTTATTGACTTGACTGACTGATAAGGAAGAAAAGGGGAAGAGATGACGAAGCATAAATAAAGTGAAAGAAAGGGTGATAATGGGGGGTGAGGAGGGAGGTGTGATGGAGGAGAGAGGGAGGGAGGGGTGTGAGAAGAGAGGGAGGTGTGATGAAGAGGGAGGGTGTGATGGAGACAGGGGAGGGGTGTGATGAAGAGAGGGAGGGAGGGTGTGATGAAGAGAGAGGGAGGGTGTGATGAAGAGAGGGAGGGAGGGGTGTGATGGAGAGAGGAGGGTGTGGTGGAGAGAGGGAGGAGGGTGTGATGGAGAGAGGGAGGGAGGGTGTGATGGAGAGAGGGAGGGAGGGTGTGATGAAGAGAGGGAGGGTGTGATGGAGACAGGGAGGTGTGATGAAGAGGGAGGTGTGATGGAGACAGGGAGAGAGGGTGTGATGAAGAGAGGAGGAGTGTGATGAAGGGAGGGAGGGTGTGATGGAGAGAGAGGGAGGGTGTGATGAAGAGAGGGAGGGAGGGTGTGATGGAGAGAGGGAGGGTGTGGTGGGAGGGAGGGGTGGAGGGGAGGGGTGTGGTGGAGAGAGGGAGGGTGTGATGGATAGGAGGCTGTGAGGGAGTGCAGGCCACCACGGGATCAATACTCGTACGTACCAAAACAACTTTGCGTCGTAAACACTAAGCTGAGAAGAGGTGTTGACACCAACCTCTGC